CATGGGGCAGGTACCTTGGGAAGGGATAGTGTCCTCAGAGCAGGAGGGGGTGGTGGTCTGCGTGCTGTAGCCACTGGAATACTGCAGCGAGTCCCGGCTGCTCTTCTGGTGCTCCAAGCTCAGCCCCCGGGTCAAGACCATAGCCAGGTCACTGGCGGCGGGGGACACCTCCTCCCCATGCTGCAGGGGCAAGGGGACACCATCAGCACCATGGTACCTCTCTTGGGAGCCCCCCAAAAGCCCACCACCTCTGTGCTTGCCCTGCTAGAGCCAGTACCTTGGCGGCAATCGTAGCTGGTGACATCCGGGGCCTGGGAGCATCCTCGCTGCTGACGCCTGGGTACCCTCCACTGGGCGAGCCCATCTCGGCTTCCCGCAGGTGCTCCACGCGGTCCTTGCGCCGCTGCAGGGTGGGGACCACCGGCTGGTCATAGGGGCTGGCCTTGGACCAGTCCTGCAATGGGCAAAGCACGGGGTGACGCTGGGGACATAGGGGCCAGGAGCCAAAAGCAGGGCAGGGCAGGAGAGGGCACATGCCAATGGGTGCTGCCCAGGATGCTCTGCCCTGTGGTGGGACAGGATGGGGGGATCTGTGGGCTGAACCCTACGAGGTGTGTGGGGACCCACGAGTGAAATGCAACCCGTGTGGGATGGGGGACAGCACTGGGGAATGGAGGAGAGGAGGAGGGTGCTGCTGCTGAAGGCTTCACCTTTCCACCACCTGCCTGTGCCCCAGTGGCGAAGCAAGAACTAACCGAGGTGGGGGAGCTGCACTCGCTAACCGACTGGCAGGTTTCGGAGGCCTCCGAGGACGCCGAGCTGGAGGACTTCTGCCATGCCGTGAGCCAGAGGGGGAGAGAAGAGGCAGTTAGCAAGCACAGCCATGACCCCGGGGTACAGCAGCACCCGCAGCCACCCCAGCTGACCCAAGCCCCCAGCCCAAGGCAGCTGACGTGGGAAGGCGAGCAGGATCCGACCCAGCAGCAGGGGCTGCAGAGCCGGGGAGGTGCTGGTTGGGTGAAGCCAGGATGCTCAGCCCCAGCCCTTCCCCCTGCTCACCCTGAGACCCGCAGAGCCAAGAGTCATTTTGGGAAACAGGGACGGTCCCTGCAGCCACGGCATTGGGATCCCCACAGGAGCAGTGTGAGGTTGGCAATGCCAGGATAGCGTGGGACCGGCAGCTCCCGGGGGGTGCCGGGCGTCCTGGAGCATCCTCAGCACAGGGCGAAGGGAAAGCTTTGCTCCACGCTTCCTGTGGGGGACTGGCACAAACTGGGTATTACGGGGCTGGGCAATTGGGAAATATCCTACTTCCCTGGCACGGGGAGGGGATACCTGTGCCTCATCTCTGGGGGGGGTCACAGATGGGGTTTCTCTGCAGTGTGGCCTGTGGTGCCCCTGAGTAGGGCTGGCATCCCCCAATGTTCCCAACATTTATCTCCAATGCAGCTGGAAAAACGTCTAGCGGGGGGTCCCATCACCTCCTCACTGGACCCTTGTGTTGCACCCAGCAGCCCCCACCCATTCTACAGAAGGGGAAACTGAGGCTTGGGGGTTGGTGGTGCTGATCCCCCCTTTGTACCTGGCTGGTGATGTCTGAGGGCATGGGGGAAGGTGGTTTGGAGTAAGTGGCGTCCTGGGAGATGAAGCCGGAGTCGTGCGAGGAGACGCTGGAGAGGCGGGTGGCGGCGGCGGGGGGCTGCGCCAGGCTGCGGTAGCGATAGGTGGAACTGGGTGAGCAGGTCTGGGCCCCGCCGGGCCATGCCATGCCACCCTTGGCACTGCTAACGCTGCTGGGGGGGTTATGGGGGTACGGGGACATGCCAGAGGGGAGGACAAAGGAAGGAAAAGAAAGTTTAAGACGGAGGTTCAGAGGTGGTGGGGTCCCTGGGCAGCAAGCCCAGCACCCTGCCCCACACCCCAACCTGGGGAAACTGAGGCACACAGTTCCCCCAGGGTTTCCCTTTCCCTTCTGGGGTCACCCAGTAGCAGGGGACATGCTGGAACACATGGCAAAGGTGACATGTTTGCCCCCAAACCCTCACATCATCCCCAAAACCTGGAGGACGTGGCAAATGCCAGGCACCTGTCCTGCCCCACAGGTCCACCAGCCCCGTCCCTGCACCCATGCCAGTGTGCCAAGACCAGTTCTTCTACATTACTGGGGACCAGCTGGCTCTATGGACATACAGAGGTGGACATGCAGCTCGTGAGCATCCCCAAGGGTCTTGTAAGCATCATTAGCCCCCCCAGGGTGAACGAAGGGAGCTGGGTTTCCTGCAGTGGTTCAGCGTGGAGCCCACCCCACCATACCTGCACATGCTGGACTTGCGGGAGCTGGAGCTGCTGGGTGAGGACGGGGGGGTCTGGTAGGACCAGCTGTAGTCAGAGCCCTTCAGGTCCTTGATCACCTGCAGGAAGGATGGGGTTTAAGCCTCCCAAAGATGGTATCATCCCCCCCCCACCCTCCCCAGCTCCCTGCTGCTGACCTGCTCACTAGCCGGGGGCAGCTTGTGGGGCTCGGCGGTGAGCACCACCAGGTCCTCGATGATGCCCTGCAGGTGGGTGATCTCTCCCAGCATGGTGAGCTCCCCGTTCTGCGGCCAGACAAGGGGGAGCATCAGCACCCATTG